CCTTTCTTTGTAAACCAGCTAATACAGTTAGAACCAGACTTGCGTAAATCATCAACAATATCTTTCTTTTCAACTCCTCTTTCTAAAAGGTATTTATATATAATATTTCTAGATGACACATTCTTACAATCCATTGTGATGTCATAATTCTGTAGATATATTTTGTGATCAGCCATAGCAGCAAACTTCACTGTTAACAAAGAACTAGCAATTGCAATGTTTGGTGTAGATACTTTGTAAATAGCAACTGGTCCATATTGCTCACTAATCTTGCTTCTAACATACTTATAACCAAAACCTTCACCAAATACTTTATGCAATCTAACACTAGCTGACTTCTGCTTTACCTTTATATCTGATTCGCTGCATTTCTCAATAACAACCTCAACAATGAATGAGTCAACAAATATTTCAGAAGAATGCTCAAATCCAAGTTGCTCTACACCTCTAGCAGTATACCTAGCATCAGCAACATCAGGCATATTTCTTCTTTCTAATAACACTCTTGATAGTAATGCTCTTAGTTCACTTTGGAAGGGGGTCATTCCTGGACTTGTAAATTTTAGTAAATTACAATTTTTTAGATAGGTATTTGAATAATTGTTTTCTGAACTATTTTTAGCTACTAATTATTTTTTTATAGTTATTATTAGTTATTGTGTCCAGAATGTTTTTGCGTGTATAATAGATTTTAAAAATACAAATATTTTTTTTGCCATTTCACCCAAACCGCTATCGGCATCTTGGAAAAGTTTCAGTGAACATAATTTCCTTGTGGTTGCTTAGCCACATCTATTGAGATATTGACTTTTGTTGCCCAATGATAATTAACCCCAAAAATGCAAAGGTTTTTCTTTCTGGTTGAAATTATGTTCACTGAAACTTTTCCAAGATGCCGATGGCGGTTTGGGTGAAATGGCAAAAAAAATATTTGTATTTTTAAAATCAATTTTACACGCAAAAACTTTCTGGACACAATAACTAATAATATCTATGAAAAAATAATTAGTAGCTAAAAATAGTTCTGAAAACGATTATTCAAATATCTATCTAACTAAATTGCAAATAACTAAAATTTATATGTCCAAGAATGACCCCCAGTGAAGAAAGTGTAGAATGGGCCCATTGCAATAAATGACAACTTTTAAATTTATGAGTGCCTCACAATGATGAATCATCAATTACAAGAACTCAGAGAAAGGGAGTTTTATAAGCTCTACACAAACAAGTGGAAATTTCTGAATGATGACTGGGTAATTTTAAAGCAAGCAAAATATCACAGAAGTGAAGTTCGTGAAGTAAGAGAAATTAAGCTTATAAAAGATACACTTCTTAAACATCTAGTGATGATTCCTGTTTTCTTCTTTCTGAATGTTTTGTTTGGTTGCACTCATTATCCATGTCCTTACAGAAATGTAGAGAAAGGATTGCTCATCATATACCAACTTGTAGAAGGATTGTCAATCAATGAAATGGAAAGATTCATTCCAAGAAGCAGCTATCAAGCTATTCACAATATGTTCTATATTTCTGAAATGAAAGATTTGAACAAGAAACTAACATACTATCTGCAAACAATGTTTTCAACTCCAGAACTACGAGTCTTTGCAGCAAAGATGCAGAATCCTCAAGGGTTTAAACATGTAACACTATTGTTAGATGGCCATGACTCAAGAGCACTACACAATGGAGCATACAAACCAGATCTCTATTCATTCAAATTGAAAAAATCAGGATATCGCACACAAGTATGCATTGATGTGAATGGAATGGTTCTACTTGTTTCACCAACTGAAGACTGTAGAGATCACCCAGACTCAAGAATGATTAAGAACATGGGGCTGCTGAAGAACATATCACCTATTGATTGCATTGTGCTTGATGGTGGCTATCCACAAAGTATTTTGGAAGAGATGACTGAGGAAGAAGAGCAGGATACTTTTGGACTGCACAACTTTTGTTTACCAGTAAGAAAGCAGAGAGGAACAAGCTTATCAGAAACAGAAGCTGAATATAATTCCCATCTTGGATCATTCTGTTCAATGGTAGAAAATACATTTGGAGAACTAGGCGATACATTCAAAAGGCTGTCAAACAGGGAGATTGTTAGAGTAAAGAATAGGAATGTTTACAATGTGCAAATGAAGTTATGCTGCTTACTCTATAATATGAAGAAGTTACTAGCAAACAGTGATGTGCATATTGATCATCATCACTCACTCTGGGTTATGAGTAACTTTGATTACCCTGATACACATGATAAGTCAACACAAGTGGAACCAATACATACTTTGCCCCAAAAAGCAGAGTTAGAAGCATCTATTATTGAAATTCAAAATCGATTCCTTCAATCTAAAATTGATGACACATATGATTGCTTGGTGCATATTGATTAATTACAGATGGAGTACTAATGACTTGATGACTTGAATTTGATGTTTTAAAATGGCACAGTTTGATTCTTTCTAAAAATGATTGTATATATGATTGCTTGGTGCATATCTATTTATTACAGATGGGGTTCTAACTACTTGATGAATTTATTATGATTTTTTAAAATGGCATAGTTTGATTCTTTTTAAAATTGATGATATATATGATTGCTTGGTATTAGAAAAATAGTTATAAATAGGATGATAACAACTTGATGACTTGAACATGATGTTTTAAAATGGAAGCTTTTGATTAAGTCTAATTCTATAAGGAGATCAGTCAGAATTGGTTAGCTATTTAATAATTATTAATATTTTTATTATTTTTTTGTTCAGATGCCAAATATGGTGCTTCTCCGAAACCCCCTTCAGCATCCTGAAAAATTTCAGTTGATTTCTTGTGACCCAGCCTCTATCTCAGTAGAAGCATATTAATTGTGTATCAACTGAAATTTTTCAGGATGCCGAAGGGGGTTTTGGAGAAGCACCATATTTGGCATCTTTGTTTATTTACTAATATAGTTGCTAGAATCTTTTTGGCCACTGCTAAATATTCTGTATTTTAAAATATTTATCTATTGCTAGTAGTTGATTTCTTATTTGTTAATTGGTTATTCTGATAATAGATATTTAGTTTCTTTAAACTTTTATATTTGTGAATGGCCTCCATATCATAGAAATACATTGCTTCAAAGGAGAGCATAAGTGTAGTTGCACATCATTTATAGTTGATTACTCCTTCAGTGAAGTAGTTATCAATCTCATATCTCTTCAGCGTTGAATACTAGTCATGTGAATATCAATCATGCATTCAACACCTATAAGAGTGAGGGCAGTGCTGAAGCGTTGATCATTTCCTTCATATTTTTTCATCTCATATTGAATACATGATAGTACCATGCGTAGTTGAGCAACGTTGTGAATGAGATATTTATGTAGAAGAGGGAGTGCAGCAGAGTTATGGGCAGAGATTTCACATCATTCAAACAATGATAAGGTATAGAAATAGCACTATGAAGTCAAAGTGAGTCAAATTTTTGCCACTTAAATTTTTCTACTTTTTTACTATTACTTCGATATCATACAAAGTACAATGCTTAGCAAACTTTTGACTGCATATAGTTATACTATGCTAAGCCCCATTGAGCATATAATGAATAGAAGTAGCCACGTTATCTGATTATGAAGATAAAGTAAGTAAAAGTTGAAAATTTTATGGCTCCATTAAGATACTCAATGTATTATAAGAAATTAGTTAGGTTTCAATAGCACCGACTCACAAAGGTCCTCGAAGCAGTTGGTACATTCTTCGAATGGTTTGTAGCATCCACAGCTACAAGCTAAAGCACCGTCATCATCAATCATAGGGTTTTGTGGATCACCTGGCTGCCACCCTCGTTTGCGCTTTTTGCTACAGCAGCTGCACTTTTCTTTCTCGCCACCGTTTTTGCTGCCGCCACAGCATGATGAAGCTGCTTGCCCCGACAGCTTATCGGTGCTCGAGGTTGGCTCACAGCAAGAGTCCTGCTCCACGATGGTTTCTTGCTGCGGTAGGACTGGGAGGGAGGTGCTTGAGCAGCACGAGTCGGTGGCTACAGCTTGAACTTGTGTTATTTGCGCGGGCGGATTCCCTGTTGGCTGGCTGCTACAGCACGAAGACTTGGGTGCGCTTGGGGCACGAGGGGTGGGGTCGGCCTTGACTGTACAGCACGAGCTGCTAATGGCAGTCGTGGGCAATGGAGGAATGACTCCTGCTGAGAATCCAGAGTCCTCTACTTCAGGAACATCAGCTACGGAAGACGACGACAAGGATAATGACGTGGATGAACCGTCACTGCTGGTGGTAGTCGCTGTCGAACGAATAGAAGGAGGCAGTGGCCCCAGGACGTTCTCTACCCACTCGCTGGGGTCATCATCAGAGTGAATATTGAGCTCGGACGAAGAGGCCAACGGCTGGCCAATGCGGGCTTCAATCGCGTGAATAAGTAATTCCAGCTTCTTCCCGCAGTCGCACCCGCATTTGCAATCAGGCTTCTCACCATTCTGCGTTGGAACTGAGGGCCCTGAGGACACCTCGAGCATGCGTTGCGCGGAATCGCCATTAGGAACAGAGGTAGTGGCTGGTGGGCGCGATAGAGGCCGTATATCCTGGCCACTATGAGCGTCAATAGAATTCGGTGCTGGCGTACTGGCAAACGGTAGCTGGTCTTTTGCACGGGCCATCTGCTTTTCGTGTTCCCTGTGCGCAGCCAAGGGGGGAATCTTACAGCATGGCGCCGCAGGTCCACTTGGGCAGGCGGGCAGCCCATCGTCCTCGCTGTCTAGCGTTTGGGTCAAGCCCTGAGGCGCCATCAGGTTGGCACTGAACGACTTGGCAGTCTCCTCGACGATCTGGGCCGGATAGTTCTTATTCAGGTACGCAGAGAACATGGGGCGGCAGCAGGCGCAAAACTTTTCTTCAGTGCAAGCACACGGGTTCAGCAGGTTCTCGATCGAGCTGATGCGGCTGCGTGGCAGCTCCTCGATGTTGAGCTTGCGGCTCTTGCGCTTGGCTACCGCTGGCTTGGTGTCTTTGTCCATGCACTCGCATTTGACATGCGCCTTGTGTGTTTTGCGCATGAGCCGGCAGCGCTCACACTGCGAGACCGGCCGGCCTTTGGGCCGAATTTCTATCAGCTCCCGGCTCGTGTGGTTGCAGGACGACGCTCTGTGTCCGCGAATGCATGCCTGGCACGCATACTTCTTGCCTTCAATCAGAATCATTGGTATATGAAGAGGCTAGCGAAAAGAGTGTAAATATACAGGCAAGACAGCTATTATTAAGCAGCAAGGGAGCAGCAAGGCACGAAAAAATGGTGGGAGAAAGGAAGGTTTGCAGCAGGCAGCAGCTGGCGCCTGCGTCCAATTGCTGCGGCCGCACGTGAGCTGCGCATTGTGTGAATGGCGGTATTGCGGGGAACCGGGCGGTGTCGACTTGTACCCGTGAGCGTATATTGTCTCTCACTGCGCAGGCTCGTGTGGGGCCGAGGAATAGCGATGTAAACGATGGGGTACTCGCTGACTCGTCGTTCCGCTCCAGTTCGATAGCCATTCGGGCAGTTACAGGAAACGTATCTATGTTTGGGAAGATGAGGTGCTGAAAAGCTAGTAACGGCGTAGCCGCATAAAGAAGGCATTCGGGCACTGCCTGCTGTCCCTGGGAAGGTATGACTTGTAGAAGTCCACAGCAAAGCGCTCGGGCTTGAACCCAAACCGCTGGTAGAGCAGCATTGCCAGGTTAGTCGCCGACACATGCAGCGTGATATCTTTGGTTGGCATGGTCTGGGTCAGGTGGTGGATCATAAAGGTCGCAATGCCGGCGCCCTCCCACCCCGCAGCTACTGCAATGTACGTGAGATAGGCCTCGGGCGTCAGGAACGCACAACCCACCACAGTACGCTTGTACAGGGCAACAACACTGAACTCTGGATACGTCAGAGCATCGCTCATGTCAACACCGGGCCAGAAGGTGCGGCACAGTAGCGCATTCACCTGTGGCAGGTGCTCGCGTTGAAGGAACACGTAGTCAATAGGTTCGCAGTCGTGGAGATCAATGGGATGGAGATGCAGCTTGGCGAACAGCGGGTGTGCTCTTGCCTTGATTGAGCGATGCACATGCAGCGCAGCAAGACTGGAACGGGATCCCAGGCGTCTCTTGCTTGTTTCTGGCTTAGACACGTCGATGAAATCACGCCAGATATAGGGGCGAAGGAATCGGCCATGGAAGGGGCTGATGGTAGTTGCCGACGTCGTCAGGCTGTCGTCCATCACGGCGCGGCCCAGCAGGCGGTGATGCAAACGAGTTGATGTACGGTGTCGCTGTGAGCGGTTCGAAATCAGCGGTGTCAGAGTACTTTTGCAACGAGCTGGAGTCGCCACTCTGCTGGTGTGACGAGGCTGTTGCACGCCCACCGGGACCACCATCGTGGTCACTGTCGTCATCGCTCGAGTCGCTGGCAGCGTCTTCACGCAGCAGCCTGTGCTGCCTTGTAATCAATCTCCCGCCCATTACGACACGGCTCTTGCGTCTTGGCCATGTACTTTGCCACCATAGCGTCGATATTAAATACGCGCTGGCCGAGGACGCGCTTTGACCGACGCATATGCAAGCGGCGTCGCAGTCGCCGTGCCGACATATTCAGTGGCACTTTGCTTGCATCCAGGCGCGAGCACAGATCCCATTCTGCGCGCTCCTTCATTATCCCTAGCTTGCTGGCAGCTGCCGATGGCGGATCAAAGAGCGGGTTGGGCACGGTGCTGGACGAGTGAAGTCCAGCCGAGAGACAGATGCGAATCGTCGGGTTTGGAATCGTCCTCGTGGATAGCAGTTTCGTCATCGTCGTGGTCGTGGTTGTCGTCATCGTCTTCACCATCTGTGCTCGTGTGGGAAGGTGGAATGTTTTGCTCCTCGTCCTTCGTCGTCAGTGGGGATCTCTCTGATCTGTGACAACTGTACCAGGGCCGAGGATTCAGCTGGTGGAGCGGCGGCTGGGACCAGCCTCAGCTCTCTGGGCCCATCATCATCCCTGGGCCAGGTCCTGGTCCGAAGCCAGTTTGGTCGCTGTGGGCCCCTCAATGTCCTTTGGGGTTGTTTGGCGGCACAGGCTCAGACTCCTTTGCTTGTAGCAATGATTGCGTATTGCCTTTGGTGCCTCCCTTTTCCATTTTCACTTCGCTCTCTTCGTCGTCCTCGCTGCCGCTGGACAGTGTGATATCCCCCATCGCCGAGCCGGTCGACCAAGAGTCCAGTGAGCTGAGTTCTGATCCGGAGTCAGCATCTACACGGTAATAAAGAAAGTTGGTATATTGAGCTGAACAGAAAGTATATATAGATGAATGGCAAAAGGCACCAGTGGACATAGTCTGCCTATTCACCGATCCTCCGCAACTGCCACTGTAGTCGTAGGGGTCTCGTTGAACTCATGCTTACCAAGGCCATCACCAGCATCCACCACTCCTCCGTCCTTGGACTCCTGTCGCAGTCGCGAACCGAGGCATTTGACTCGATCTCCTCTGACTTGTCGGCGCCGCCCGAAGTCCGCTCCTTCTCCATCTTTGTGAACAGCTCAAAGCTCTGCAGCAGATCCATGTCGGCATCCAGAGACTTGAGCGTGGGCCGGGAGCGCTTTGCCCTGGCCTTGCGCTGCCGGTGCTCGTCCTCTGAGTCGTCGTCGCTGAATGACACGCGGTGGCGCGCATTGCTACGCTTCCTGCCCTCGTTGAGAACTTCCAGGATCTCCTTCTCTGCCTCCGAATTCGGCACCGTGTCGTCGTGACTGCGTTTCCGCGACACCTTCTTTGAATCGCCTCTGTGGACATTCCGTGGCGCCCGGCCCGACGAGTCAGCCTTTTTTGTCGGGCCCTTGAACTTGGCCATCGAGGGCGCAACCACATCCTGCAATGTCCAGTTGCCCGGCTGCTGCGTGTCGTCGAAGCCCGACTTGAACAGCAGATTGTGTGTTGACAGGCACCCGGCGACCGTGTTGTGCCATGTGGCAGTCTTCGCCTTTCCCCGGCATCAGCGCGTCCCAGTTCTCGTTGATGGTGGCGCAGATGTTCTCCCGCCACCTAAAGTACTTTTTGTCTGGCTGTGCGTGGATCAAGTGGTAGAGCACGATGTAGATTACCTGCACCCAGCTCAGCGTGTCGCGCTCGTACTCCTCCTTGCCGCTGTTGCAGACGCTGCATGTGAACGTATAAAAGCTGTCGCCAAACAGCGGCTTCGTCTTCAGGCACGACACGCAGTCCCAGTGGAACAGCTGCATGCATTGGCTGCACTGAAGCATCGGGTCGCCGATGGTGTAGTCCAGCCCACAGTAGCAGTACACGCCCTCCTTGTTGCGCTTGTGCTCGCTATCCCACTCCAGCGCCTCGAGCTAAACATCAATGAAAATAGTGGTCTTAGCGGCGCCGTGTTCCGCTGGAGCCCGTGTGCCCAGCAAGTGCGGAGAATGTGTGCTTACATTGTACTTGAACTTTGTCGCCATGGCCATGAATGTTGTTTACTTGTTGTGAATGTATGCGAGTGCAGCTGTGGTTAGTGGAAGCGAGAAAGCAAAACACAGGCGGCCTGGAAAAAACGCTATTTTTTTCTTTCTCCAAACGCCACCTGGAGCGGGTAATCACAGGAGACAGAATGAGCCGTGATTAAGATCAATGGCTTGCCATTTCTGGTTCAGGCGGCCAAGGCGTGTGCCCAAGCAATATGGCGTTTGCGCCTCAGCACATCGGGTCCTCGGACTTCAGTTGCATATTGCTGTGTATTAAAAAGTATGTAGAAATGCTGTGGATTGCAATAGCCCCCTTGCGGAGTAGCTCTCGAAACTCCACTCACACCAGGCACACGTTGTAGTAGGCGCGCTCGCCATTGTCCTTGGTGCGCAGCTGCCACTCGGCTGCTCCCATCAGGTCCTGGAACTGGCTGGAATTGGCCATCGACTTGCCGCGCATGCCGTTGCGCGAGCAGAAGTTCTTGTAGGCCCGGAACGCCGTCTCGAACGACAGCCATGCGTACGGCTTGACGTCCAGGCACTTGTCGACAAACACGCCGAAGAACTGGCGCACGTCCTTGGGGATGCTGGCCGTGGCGCTGTCCAGGTCATCCTCATCGGTCTCGTCGGTCTCCGCGTCCGATTCTTCCTCGTCCTCTTCGTCGTCATCGCCGTAAAGCTGTCCGTTGTAGGCCGATGGGCCGCGATGCGCAGCCGCCGCCGGCTCAGCCTTGCGTCCGTTGGCTGACCGGCCAGGCAGCTCGTAGACTGACGACGTGCTGCCCGGTGCCTGGCCGCCACGGCTCCGCTGGAGCGCCCGCGCGGCATGGTCTGTGACTCGGTGATGCGGGTCTGGTTGCGCAGATTCGACGACTCCTTCGCCCAGCGGCCGCTCGTGCCCGCCTGCATCCGGTTCTGAATTGACAGTGGCGACGACCCGCTGGACGAGCCGCCCGAGCCGGAGTGGGACGACGCCAGCGACTGGCGCGAGTTGGCGCTGTGGAACGGCGCCATGTTGGTCGCTGACAGCGAGTTTCCAAGCCGGGCACTCGAGCTGCGGCGCTGCTGGCTGCTGCTGCTGCTGCTGGGCGTCGCCAGCAAACGGCGGGGTTTGCTGCTGCTGGAACTGCTGGAATTGCTGGAATTGCTGGAACTGCTGGAACTGCTGGAACTGCTGCTGCTGCGGAGGGGCCTGGCTGGCGCCGCCGAGCTGAGTTGCCAGGTGTGGCGACGATGCAGACATGCCCGACTGCATCGCCGCGCGCAGCGGATGCACATCGGGCTGGGCCATCGAGGCCCTGGCTCCGGGAGCACCGGTGTAGATGGATAGAGCCACGTCGTCGTCGTCATCGTCATGGCCGCCGCCCATCATCATGCCTGCCTGGTTGCCGCCCATCATGTGCGGAGGCACCATCTGCTGGCCGCCGTAGAACGTATTGCGCATATACGGACCGCCAATCTGCTCAGCTGAGATGGACGGCGCCTGCATCATGTATGGCGCACGGCCCGACATGCCGCTCATCATCGACATGTTGTCGTCGGCCCAGTTGGGCTGGCCACCGTACATGCTCGGGAACGTGCCGAAGCGCGATCCGGGCTGCTGCTGGCCCATAGGGCCGATCATGGTGTTCATGCCCATGGCCTGGTTACGGCGCATTTGGCGCTCCTTCATCAGACTCGACGAGTCGCGGTATTTCTGCTCCGAGCGCATTTGCTCGCGCGTGGCAATCGCACCAACCAGTCCTGTGGGCCGCTCGATCGGATCGACCTTCTTCTCGACCGTCAGCAGCGGTCCAGCGCCACCGCCGTCCAAGAGACCGCCACCGACCATGCCCGGCTGCTGCATCTGTCCGCCCCACACGCCGCCGCCAGCCATCGCATCCATGTATGTCATCGGCCGCTGGCCATTGGCAAAGCCCATAGGCATGGCGCCGCCCATCATCTGCTGCTGTTGCTGCATCATCATCATCTGCTGCTGCTGCATCGGGTCCTGCCCCATCATCATCTGCATTCCGTTCATGGCCTGTCCAGGCAGCATGGTCTGGCCGGGCATCATTGGCTGCTGCTGCTGCATACCGCCAAAGGCTGGCATGGCTGTTGAGGCCCGCTGCATAGTGGCACTGGATCCGATTGATCCGTATTGCATCGGCTGCTGCCCCGGCATCGTCTGCCCCATCATCATCGGCTGCTGCTGAGGAAGCTGCTGCCCGGGCAGACGGCTGCCCAGCGGTGCATCGCTGTCCGAGTCGCTGCTGTCCGACTCTACGAGCTGCCGTCCAATTGGTTCGCCTTCAGCGTGGTTCGTAGGTGGAGGCGACTCGACAATCTTCAGATTAACGATGGCCTCCGAAGCCTCGTCAACAAACGAGGCCCGGTTGCCCTCCAGGCCCAGCGCAGGTGTCGGGATCGATGGTGCCGGGCCGCTCGTGGTGGTGGCTGTGGTGTTGGTGTTTGACCCACCCGAGATGCTCGACAGGCGCGCATCGGTAGTGCTCGGCGACTGCCCGGCGCTGTCTTCTGACTTTTTGCTCTGGCGCTTCAGGAACTTTCCGGCCTCGCTCTTGCGGCCGTTGCTGTCTTTGCTGTCTTTGCTGTCCTTACTGCTCTTGTGCAGGAAGCTGAAGGGCTTCTTCTTCTGCGGCGTCTCCTCAACAGCGACTGCGGGGGGCTCGGCAGGCTTCGGCAGGTGCTCCTCGGCGACATTTTTTGTCAGCGCTGGCTGCACCTGGTACGCAGTGCTGCCGCTGAGCGCGCGTGTGTTCTTACCGTTGGCATAGTTGCTGACAGGCACGTCGTCGTCGTCGTCATCACCATCGCTGTCCCATGGCATGCGTGTCTGAGGCGGTGGCGATTGCGGCTGCTGCGCAATAATAGCGGTGTCCTCAGCAGCCGGGGCAGGCGGTGCGCCGAGAGTGGAGGCTGACCTAGACTCAGCTGCCTGGTGGTGGACCTCCTGGCGCACCATCGGCTTGGCACACCGCTCGGTAGCCAGATTCTCGAGCATCCTGCGCGCAGTCACAGGCTCCATGATCTCGACTGACTTGCTGGCGATGTCGTCAGACAGCAGATACAGGTCGCTGCGGCTCGGCAGGACGTCGGGCATGAAGGCCACGGGCTGGCCATACAGCTTGTACTGGCTGGCCGTCTCGACCAGCGCCGACACCATCTCGCCTGGGTTCTGGAAGATCACCAGGGCGTAGGATCCGCAGGCGCGGGCGGCACTGGCCAGCGAGCTCCGGTCGCTCTCGGCATCGTCGGGCTTGGGAAGCAGCGACTGGTCGATCTCGCAGTCGCCCTCGAATTTGGCAATGACCGCGTTGTCGACCAGGTCGATGCTGTCGGGGAACACCGAGTAGGCGCTTCGGATCGCCTTCATCAGCGCCAGCTGGGCCGGGCTCTCCTCGGAGAAGAAGGCAATCTGGGTCGGCTGCTTGCCTGCATCGAGCACCATGTGGCACGGCACCCACTCGTTGGTGCCTGAGAACCGCACCTGCACGTGGTACTCGGTCGGACGTGCGTCGGCCAGGATGGCAGGATAGCGCTCGTTGACCAGGGCGGCAGTGTAGAACTCGTAGAGCTTTGTGGCCTCGAAGCAGGCCAGACGCATGGCCCTGACCCAGTCGTTCATGGCGCGGTCGTCGACAGACTGCATGAAGAAGCGGTTGGCGCCCGACGAATGCAGGGTCCAGACGCTGTCGCGCTTCTTGAGCTTGCCGACGACGGCGCAGGCAGCGTCGGTGATGTTGATGAAGTTGGGCTTTGTCACGATGTTTTTGATGTGGGCAACTGTGCGCTCGAACTCGGGCGACCCCGGCTGCACGCGGCCGTCGACCATGGCGGTGATATCTTCGAGGTAGGCAGACAGCTGGGAGTCGAGCAGATTCCAAAACATCAGAACGGGGCCGCGCAGCTCAACGTACCACCTTGTCCACTTGCGCATTCCGTATGGTCGCCCGTCGGCGGAGCGGTCGTTCTTCTTGCCCAGGATACCGCGGATGTAGAGCTTCTGGCGGAATGTGTCAAAGTAGGTGGCCATGCTGGCAACGGGCACGAGGCCGCCTGCGCTGGCCGATCCGGTGGCAGCAGGTGGGACCGACATGGTGGATGGAAATGGAGATGGAAAAAGAGAGCCTATAAAAAGGAATAGAGGTCCGTAATCCAGCAGAGCAGAGGGTCAGTATAGGCAAGAGGAAGACAAACAAAATAAACCCCTCGAACGCAAGAAAAACGAGCGAGAAAGGACCCGAGAGGTGCACACAGACGATTGCCCGAGATCAGAAATAGAACCAGTACGGGATTTTTTTGGGGGGAAGAGCGAGAGGCGGTGCCGATGGGCTTTTGCTCGAGGCGTGCGAGGGAGGAGAGACAACCCGGGCAGGTGTGCGTGGGCCGTGGGCAGCAGGTGGCGAAACACAACACAAAAATGTAAACATGCACCTCAGGCTTTTTAAGGCAAAGCGGCCGCGGCTATTGTGCAGCGCTTGTGTATATATCCCAAGATTCACAGAAACTCGTGGGAGGAGGCGTCGGCGAGAAAGAATTGCAGAGGCAGGGGCTAAACAACAGCGGCAAGGCCCCGCACGGCAGCCATTGCGAACTTTACCTGTATGCGATGGTGCTGCTGGCGTTGCGGAGTGCTGGCGTTGCGGAGTGCTTCCCAGAGTACCGGCTGCTCCTCAAAACGACGTCTATGTGGGGTGGTGAGGAATGGAGGTGGGAGGTTAAGAAATGGTCGAACCGAAGGGCTTGTGCTTGCAGATTGCTTGCGCAAAATGGAGAAACAAAAAATTAGGCGAGGAGAAATTCAAGCAGGAGCTAGACTGCAGCTGTGCAGAAACGAGTGGGAGGGAGGAAGAGACGGGTTTCAAGGAGCCTGACGCACAGCGAGAGCCACCCAGCAGACGCGCCCGGCCTATTAATAGCTGGCCACAGCCCTTGCGTTTTTCTGCGAGGGCGAGTCTCACGTTTTCTCCCCCCACTCTGGCTTTTCTGCTCCCATGCGCAGGGGCCTTTTCGGCAGAAGCTCCACCGACAAAGGACACAAACAGCAAGCGCCGGCTTTTGTTCGCGGGGCCAGCGTGCAAAACAGCGCACACACAAAGATGCCACCATGTAGCGGCATTGTGCGGGCGTTTATCAGCCCGCCATCACGGATTGCGCGGATAGTGCGCTGGGTGCCTCAAATTAGCCTGGCGCACAGGCTGTCCCAGAGAACATATGTGCTGAACCATATGTTGGTCGATCCGTGCAGCAGCATGAACTGCACCAGTGTTTTTAATATTGGCGCGTGTGTTTTTGGCACTGCCGCATTTGATCAATCGCGACTCTTTTTGCTATTAGCGCACCGGTACTGTCCAAAGGAGGGACACATCACACCAGCATGGCTACATTGGACACGGTTTATATTGGGTACTTTGCGTCGCACATCCCCATCACGCTGGCTGTGGACCTCATGCCGCTGCTGCCCCGAGCACTGGTGCCCGGGCCACTGCTGGCGCTCAACACGTTCCTGACGCAGACGCTGCGCGACCCGTTCATGGTGATCGACGACACGCGCACAGACCTGACGTGGTTCCGCAGCTTCCTTGCCTGCGAGCTAGTGTTCCAGCTGCCGTTCTTCTTCTATGCGCTAAAGCTGCTGCTGGCGGGGTCGCCGCGGCGGCACCCGTGGCTGGCAGTGTATGGGGCCCACGTAGTGACCACGATGGTGCCTATTCTGGCGACGCTGGCATTCAACATCACCGACCGCACGGTGAGCGAGAAGCTGATGCTGGCCATGATGTACGGGCCGTATCTGGCGATTCCGCTGCTGATGGTGGCGACGTCGCTGCCGCACTGCCTGGCAGCCAAGGCAAAGACCGACTGAGTGATAGCAACTTTTGCTCTATTTCATTTTCGAAAATATAAAGGGACGCAGACTATGCAGACAGCTCCAGGTAGTGCTTGAAGGGAACAAAGGCGAGCCAGTCGGAGGTAGCGGTGGGCAGCAGGCCCATGATGCTGAGACGGTAGACGCCAAACAGCACCCCACCGATGTTGATAGCAATGAAGGCAGCCTTCTGCATGCTCAGGTCAACAGCGACATTGCCGCCCTTGCCCAGACGCTCCAGGGGCGCAAAGGACGCATTGACAGACATGATGGACTTTAGCGGCGTCATGAAGATCATGCCCATGATGATGATGCTGAAGATCGAGACGCCGCTGCCCGACATCCACGCCATGAACATCTGCATGGGCAGCGTCTTGCCCGGCGCCAGTGCCACCTCCCAGGCCTTCTTTGCGCGCAGCTCCAGCTCAATGGAGTCGGAGGCATTGCGCGCGCCCGACGACACGGAGCTGCCGGCGGCGATGGCTGCGTCGAAGCCGTACGGGTCCTTGACGAAGCGGTTGGGCCGGCCCTTGCTCAGCAGCGGCGAAATGTCCACGTACGTCTTTGTAGTCTTGCTCATCATTCAGAAGAAATCGCAGGGTAATTAGGGAAAATGCAAAAGCGCTGCAGAGAAGCGCGTGCAGGTGGGGGGAAGCGATTGCGAGCAGGAAAGTGCCACGAGTGGCCTCGACAGCGATTATCGGGCAGGGACTGTGCAGGCAAGAGGGGCCACGGCTGGCGGCAGCCTTGCTTTTCTTCGCTCCAGCTATGCCCGCGTTTTCTTGAATTTCCAGCGTACCTTACAGTAGCTTGCATTATCCTTCGCAATGGCCTCGTCCAACGTCCGACAGTCGTCCTTTTGGAAGCGCACGCCTGCATTCACGCCGTCCAGGTAAAAAGAAACAAAAGCACAGCATGCACCATGGGGAGTAGCGTATGGACAACGCAAGCCAGAGCAAAGGACAGCTGACAGGCATTGAGTTCTAGGGTGGAGCTCGTATACAGCAGCACAGCGCACACGGACACCGCCGCCGACCTGGCGCCCAAAGCCAAGCAGCAGCCAGCAGCGGCACCAGAACCAGCAGCAGAGCCGGCAACAGAGCCAGAGCCACGCACAGCCGACCTCAACCCGCTAGCAGCAGCAGGGCCTCCCTCGCCACCAGTCTCCAGCACGCTGGAGGACAAGTTCCAGGCACTGCTGTCGTCGCCGCACGTGGACCTGGAGCAGCTCAAGAAGCTCAGCTGGAAGGGCATCCCGTCCAGGCACCGGCGCACAGCATGGCAGCTGCTTATGGGATACCTGCCGCTGAACGGCAGCCGTCGCGCAGCCACAGTGGCTCGCAAACGCAAGGAGTATGCGGACTGGACCGCGCAGACGTTCCAGCGCGGCGAGGCGTCGCTGGACCGGCAGGTGTGGCACCAGATCCGCATCGACGTGCCACGCACGCGGCCTGATTCGCCGGTGATCCAGCACGTGCGCGTGCAGCGCAGCCTGGAGCGCGCGCTGTACTGCTGGGCGGTGCGGCACCCGGCTAGCGGCTACGTGCAGGGCATCAACGACCTGCTGACGCCGTTCTACTGCGTGTTCCTGGGCGAGGCAGAAGTTGACAGTGTCTCGGACCAGGCGCTGGCTGAGACCGAGGCCGACGCGTTCTGGTGCCTGACGCGGCTGCTGGACGGAATCCAGGACAACTACACGCATGCACAGCCGGGCATCCAGCGGCAGGTGGTCAAGCTGCGCGAGCTGGTGTCGCGCATCAACCGGCCACTGGCCGACCATCTCAGCGCCGAGGGCATAGAGTTCATCCAGTTTGCATTCCGGTGGATCAACTGCCTGCTGATGCGCGAGGTCAGCCTGGCCAACACCGTGCGCATGTGGGACACGTACCTGGCCGAGCCCGACGGCTTCTCGACCTTCCACATCTACGTCTGCGCAGCTTTCCTGCTGCGCTGGGCCGCCGAGCTGATGCAGCTCGACTTCCAGAAAGCCATTCTGTTTCTGCAGAACCCGCCCACTGCCGCTTGGACCACGCAGGACATTGAGCTGCTGCTGGCCGAGGCATACATGTACAAGTGCCTGTACCACGACTCGCCCAGCCACTATGCGGCGACGGCCACGCGGCGCTGATTTGAAAATACATGGTTCAAAATATTGGCAGAACAGTAAAAGAACATTACGGCCGCTGGAGACGAGTCAGAGCACCCCCAGCGCTGAGCCCACCAGCCACGCCGCGCACGTGCCAGCCACGCCCAACCCCCACACGCTGGTCCGCACCAGCGGCAGCGCGGCGACCAGACCCACGGGCGCCAGCAGCGCACCAAAGGTCGAGAGCCACGACGGCCGCCACTCACGGACCATGGTCTGCACCTGGCCCATGGTCTCCTCCACGCTGCCGTTGTTGTCGATGACGCGCGTGGCCCGGCGGATCTTGTCGTCCAGCGGCATCTGCGCAGCGATCCGCGCGGCTGCCTCATCGCCGCTTAGCGCATTGCGGGCCATCAGCCGCGCCAGCTGCCGGTCCTCGGCACACGCCACCACGGCCACCTTACCGCACAGCCTGTCCAGCCCCGACTCGAACAGCAGCGGCACGTCCAGAACGCACATGGCGTGGCCGCGCACATAATATCCAAGCAAAAGCACCAGCATCCTTCGCCGCACGTACGGGTGCGTGCAGCGGTTCAGCAGCTGTCGCTTGGCCGCGTCGCCGAAGATCTCGGCGCCCAGTCGCGCCCGGTCGATGGTCGCGTCGTCCCGCAGTATCCCCGGCCCAAAATGTTGCACCACCAGACGGTATGGTGTCTCGCCCGGCTCCATCAGCTGGTGGGCGACAGTGTCGGCGTCGATAACAGGCACGCCCTGCGCGCGCAGCCCGTTGCTGACGGTGCTCTTGCCCGTGGCAATTCCGCCTGTGAGTCCGACTATCAGCATTGCAGCAGAGTAGTAAATTTATGTGTGGCCAATTCAGTTGGAGAGAAGCAAAAAGCTGCCAGGGAAACCCCGGCTTATCTGCCCACAGCACTCTATCAGCGCTTGGACCGCTTGCTCCGGCTCCGCCCGCTGCCCCCACGCCTGCGCTTGCCGCCGCGCGGCTTGGCACTGCCTGCCTGCTGCTCGGCCTGCACCCACTCGGCCAGGTCGGCTGGCGGGTACGTGTTTGGAATCTGCCCAGGCACCGCCGCCTGCCACGCCCCGGCCACGTAGTCGCTGTCGATATCAGCCTCCAGCGTCGGCTCGCTGCCGCCCGCCAGCTCGGCTCCCAGGTCCAGCACCGCCCCGCCCGGCCCGCCCGCATCGTCGGCTGCGCGGTAGACAGTCGCATCCCAGGTGCGCTTGCGATGCACCAGCATGTACTGCCCCGCCGCCAGCCCCAGCAGCTCGCGCAGCAGCTCGCGCACCCCGCGCGTCGACGGACTGGTGCCCGGCGACGTGCACTCGTACAGATCGCCCGAGCCGACCCGTGTCGCCCGCACCGCCTGCCCCGCGCCCACATCCACATGCGTCACCCACACCTCCGACGGGCTGCCGCGCATGTAGCTGCCGAGCCACCACGCAAGCCGCTCTGTCTCCGTCACCTCCTCGCCCGCCGCGCCCAGCCCGCGCTGGTACTCCAGCTTCGTCTTCAGCGTCACCGTCGCCACACGCCCTCCCTCGCCCGTGGCAAACCCATGCACCCGTGACCGCACCAGCACCCGCAGCCCGCCAAACTCCCACAGCGTGTAGCTCGCATTGCCGCTCTCTGCCCCCGAGCCGCCCTCCACCCGCCCCAGCATCGAGCCGCGACGCAGGTCCATGTCTGCACTGCCGCCGCTCACTGCCCGAGCCGCCGCCGCCGCCCCATAGAACTCCTGGTTGAGCATCCGCGGCGTTGCTGCCTGGGCCGACGCCAGCGGCGAGTCCACCACCAGCACGCGCCTGCCGTCTGTCTCGCGGATTTCGAACGGAATCATCACGTCGCGTGCAAACGCTTGCGCCAGCGTCAGCAGCGCCTCCAGTGCCCCCAGCGCCAGCGACACGTCGGCCCTCGCCAGCCCTGCCAGCTGCATCGCACACGCATCCTGCGACATCGCTGGAGCCACCGCCCCGTCCACCCACGGATCCGCCTGCGCAATGTCGCCGCTGGATACCTGCTCCCACGCGACCCTGGCACACGACCCGCGCTGCAGCAGCGTGTCGCTGTACTCGAACTGCACATACCCCGGCGTCGTCGGCCGGATCGGCGTCACGTGCACTGCCCGGTACCGCCGCCCATATATGGCCAGTGCCCGCGCCCGCTGCCGCTCCAGCTCTGCCGCTGCCCACTGCTTGACCGCCGTGCTGATAAACCCGAGCCGCGGCGCCACTGCCTCGCGGCTCTGCTGCCGGAACCGCTGCTGCTCCGTCTCCACCCGTCCCCGCAACCGGCTCAGCTCCTGCATCTCCTTGTGTGCCAGCGTCTCGCCCGCCTTCGCCCGATGCGTCTGCTTCAAGTACCACACGTGCTCGGCCGCCGCCAGCTGCGAGAACGGCCCGCTGTATTCTCGAGGAAGCAGCGCCGCCAGCTCCTTGGCCGTCTTGCCACTGTCCCCTACTGCCGGTTGCTGCTGCTGCTGCTGCTGCTCTGGAGCGACTGCTGGCGCTGTGCCCTCGATCGCCTGCATCGCCACCAGCAGGTCATTAGGCACCTCCCCCGGCTTCTCATTGCTTGCCTCCACCGCCGCTGCCTCGCCCACATGTGCCAACGGCGATGCCTGGCGCATCCGGCTCACCATTGCCTCGGTGCCTGTCTTTGCTAACCCCGGCGACTTCATTGCCCCCAGCAGCGCCCCCACCACATCATCTCCCTCACTAGCCACTGCCCGTGTCTTTGCTGCTCCCTGCACGTCCTCGGATCCTGTGCTATTCCCTCCCGCCGCCTCCTTTGGGACCTCGCTTCCTGCACCTGCCGCCCCATGCGACCGCAGAGACGACGGCTTCTGGTGGTGGTGGACTGCCGATACCGCTGGCGCAACTGCCGCTGGCGCAACTGCCGCCGGCCCTGCTTCCTTTGGCTCACTGACTGCTGCCGACTGCGCTTTCACAACCGTGTACCGCTTATAAACTTCCACGTCGAAAAACCGCCCCTGCGCGACTTTGGGCACATGTCTGTCGCGGAAATCTTGCTGCATCCGATCCAGCACAGTAGTCTCTGCCACTCCGCCCACCGTCTGCTCGCTCCCGTCCAGTGCTGGAATCGACTCAAACTCCTCATCATCGCTCGAGTGTCCCGCCGCCGCTGTCTTGTGCTCCTCCCCTACTATCCGCTCCACCCCACGCATAGCCACCGGCGACTGCCGCGTCGACGCCGCCGGCGTGTGGTTCTGCGATATCAGCCGCTCCACGTCTTCATCCGCTTCGATCTCCTCAAAGTCAACGAAAAATCCCCCCGACCCTTCTTCCTCTATACCGCCGATCCCCGCTTCGCTCTTGCTCTCGTCCTCCGAGGACGACCCGGACTCATCCAAGTCCGTGTCATCTATTGTTGCTATTTGCGAAAGCCGCGCTGCCATCTCTGTGGGCTCCTGAAACTCGCTGTCGTCCAGCATTGCGTCCTGGCTGCCTTCCCCATGCATGGTTGTTGGGTGGTCGCTGGCGCTGCTGCCTGCTGTGTCCTTTGCTATTGTCCCGTCGCGTAGCTCCATTTTCGTATCTATATGTGGTGGGCCTGCTGCTTGCTTGGGATGCCAGAGTGTGTAAATTCGTGTCAGAAAGCAAGGACCGAAAGGCGTGCGTTTGACGTGTGCGCGCTTTTTATTTTCTGTTTTTTTCAGACTATCCGGCTCGTACTTTGATATTGAAGCGAGCCGAGCCGATGTAGCCACATCCCATCATGAAATGTGGTCGGCTGCATACGAGCAACCGCATATTTCATGGTATTGTTGTGTTGGTCGACTGTGTAGTGGTTTTTAAATGTATATTTAATACTGAAGAAAAGAGAGAAAAGGGAATAGACGAGTTGCGCAGGGGAGTTTTTAATACTGCCATCTGTGCAACTTATCAGAGGCTAGACTCTACCTCCATATCGTAGGCTGTAGCGGGGCTCTCGTTGGCGCCTGGATTTCTGTCACCTGATTCGGCTAACATGTCGATGTCAGGGACAGCCGCATCGGGCGCGCAACAGTATCATTGGCTAGGTGCAGAACCCTCTAGTGGGTGCTGTGAAATACTCACTGTTGCCGTCCTATCCACACTATCTCTATAATTAATACTTATTTTTCAACTGCTATCCCAGAACCCATTTGCCAATTTCAATATTAAAACACACACATGTATCAGATATATTGTTGCTGCGTTTTGTACGAGGTGTGAGTTTTCTAAAGGGCCCACTTTGTACCAAAGGGAAAAGAGAAAGAGAAAGCTGCATTGCATGGCCACCTTAGCAGGGAATCATCCTGTATGTGCTGAGATCCTCCATCCCAATGCTTACGACTCAATCCCTTTAGAGGATTCGGCCCATATAGTGCCTACTGCCCCAAATACTGTTTAGCATGATCCTGTAGAGGAAGCAGAATATATTTAGTTTAGCAATGCGTTTACTCGCCCTTCTCTCTTGGTAGTGGTATACAGTGACACTAGAATGACCCCAGTGTTCTGGTACTCTGGCACTTGGCATTGGGAGCAGTGTATACAATGCTCTGGGATGGAGACCTGTTCTTCACTTTATCGTTGTGGACATGTATCTTGCCGATTTTTGCGCCCTTTCACCGCCAAACATAATTGCTGGAGGTCCACACAACCTCGAATAAGGGCAGGCAATATGTGTGGGACGTGCGCTGCTTAGATTCAGGCTTGAGGCTGCACCACACTCCATTGCCCAAGCCTGCTCCATAGCATATACTCGTGATTATATGTTGTTTGAAAACACAAACTGGAAATAGTAAGCTTAATCTTTACCTTTATATATGATTTTATAGTCCAAAAAGTGTCCGACCGTCCGCTAGAACCTTTTAAATTGGTTAAAAGATAAAACTTTTAAGCTTCAACACGAGTTTGGGAGACTTACTCTATAAACTCCTTTTTGATCTTGTGCGGCATCTGACCTCATCGGTGAAACCAGGGTGACAAGTTGTTATTGTAGTGGTTATAGGTTTCCACTATATATCTCCATTGGTTCAGCGCAAGAGCTACTCTCATTGTCGGTCGACATGATAACTTCCATGGCATCATCATGGTGGTCATCACCGGCTGCGCAACACTCTTAGGATGTTTATTTATGAGCACCTATTGAATAAGGCCATATAGCTCTTCTAGCGGTCATGCAATATTTGTGGGTTTATTTTACAAATTAATTTGTCTTATGAACATGCGTAAGCAGTAGTATTTGGGCCACAATGGACCCAGTCTGTATAGACTGATTCAAGAGACTGTATCAGTGCTAAGGGCCCCAAGAACCATGCAAGCCAGATCATTATTAATAAAAAGTTCTTAATGCTATGCATACGCAATACAGCAAAACTGAACAGCATCATTTCTCTTCTTACTTGCCTATTGAATTTCTCAAATGAACATTACCTGCAGCACTACTATCATAAAGATATCACTTGGTGGTATTGGCTTCCGTGATTCTATGTTGCCCCGCCTAGAGCAATTTGTACACAGCGTCAATATCATCAAAGAGCATATATACATGCTTGCACGATGGATATTACTCCATCAACTAGCTGATGATGATGCCTTTGACCCTGCAACATTTGTAAAAAAGGGATTCTTTCGCTCAATTTATTTATTTATATATCACAATCTGAAGGCGAAGACTGTCATATCTGCCGAGGACTTCGTCAACCGGAAGGACAAGTCAGAACTGTCGAGCGCAGATTTCGGTGATGTAGCTAGATATCATATTTATGATTATCTATTGCATAATGGCGATATCAAGCTACATGGTGTACATGACATGAATCAAGTAGCAACATACGTGGATACCGAGCTGATGACAGCATACAAGAACAACATTGTGTTGCACTATGGCACTTGCCTACAGCGGATTCTGGCCAAATTGATTGATATTCGCAGCCGCAAAAACACACTGCACAGTACAATGGGCAATGTATCCAAGGCTGAGTTCAATAACGCATGTCAAGTGTGTATTTATACACCTGCACAGAAGCTCCGCCAGGCAGTTGCCTCTAGGCACCCTGATCTCAGTGTGCTCACCCTACGGATGCTTGCAATCTACAACAAGCTGGCACCAGTCCTTAATGCCTATGATGCCAAGTACAGATTCGCCAAAGACAGCCGATACTATGATGCCAAGGTAAATCCACTTAAGCATCTGCATGTATACATTCGCCTATGCCAGCTTATTGAGAATGAGCAGCTTGGCAAGTCTCCCCCCCAATGCTTGCCTCTGCGGACACCATGGATCCCAGGCCATGTGCGCTTAGACAAGCAAATAATCAAGCAGGTGTTTGTTTCGAAAACACGTGAGGAGGTTACCAAGATCAACGCAGCAAAGAGGGCAGCAACAGAGGCAAGGAAAGCAGCAGAAAAGGGCGAAAAATTGGCCAAGAAGGCTGCACACAACTTTGAAGTCTATCTGATCGACGAATTTCGGACATCGTCGATGTGCCCGTTCTGCTGCGAAAAGTCGCTGCAGACATTCCGGCATGTTCCCAACCCGCGGCCCTACCAGAGATCGAAGAACCCAACTGTGAAGTGCCATGGCCTTCTCCGCTGTACAAGCGAGTCATGTAAGCAGGCCATGGCACAATACAGGCGAGCCTATTCGTCTCGGCTCTTGAACCGCGATCTCGCAGCAGTTCTAAACTTCAGGCTCATTTTCTAGTCACTCTGTGATTCAGGCAGTATTCCTGAACGGTTCTGTCGCTCTACAGCCATTGCTGCCAATGCTTCTGGCACCACCCCTGCAACAAAGAGGCCGCGCAAGAGGCGTGCAGCAGCAGCAGGCTATTCTGCTGCCAGCAGCAGCGAGCCAGCGCTGAAGCGCCTACGCTGAGCAGGCCACCAAGATGGGAGATGTCCATGATCAACATTGCACCAACAACCATCCGACACGTTCAAATGACCGGTTCGCCGTGATGCTCTTATCGACGTGTCAACCCATGCTGACTAGCAGCCGAGCTCGCATCGCGAGCAGAGCAATTCTGGTAGTGAATAAGGTAAATAATATTCAAAGTACGGGTTTATTCATTCAAGGTGCAGGCGTCGACGGGTGAAGCTTTTCAATGTCGCTTGCCAAAGCGTCTCCTTCATCGTCTTCGCTGTCGTAACTATCGGCATCTTCCTCATCGCTGGAATCAATGGCCAGCCTAATTGGCAGATCACCATTTGCAACCATCAAGTCCTTGCCGCTGATGACCGCACTTGGAAACACGATCCAGTGCTTGGGCACACTGTACGACTTCTCCACCGTCTCCACTCTGCCAGGCGTGGCCGCATCTTTCACACTCGCTACCACCTTGATATCAGGCGGAGACTCGATTGGCGCTGGCATTTGTGCCTGGAACTCCGCGCTCTGTGTGCTCTGGCCAGCGACCCGTGGATGCCGCAGCTCCCAGCCGCACGCATGGGCAAGATATGCCACAATGTCGTCAGCATCGCCCAGTAGCTGCACATCAAAGTTGAAGTGCAGAATTGGCGTCTTGTTGATGACAATCTGCGGGACTGTATGTGGCAAATGCCCCATGATGTCGGAAACCGGTGCCACCTTCAGACTACTACCCATGACCAACAGCAGATCAACCTTCTCGCGGTCGGCCAGCAGCGCTTCGTCAAAGGCATCCGGCAGCTTTTCACCAAAGAATGTAATATCTGGCTTCATTACGCCGCGCTGCATTCCATAGTCGTCATCATCCTCGTCATCATCCTCGTCGTCATCATAGCCGTTACCAAAATCCTGGTTAGAGATCGTTGTGCCCTCAGGCATGACGCCCTTCGGCTTGGTGGATTGACTCGGCTGGTCGTTGCACTTTGGGCAGTAAGCAATCCGCTGCACCATGATATCTCCTTCCAGATCCTTACCGTCGCACTTGTATCCGCACTTGATACATGTTGCTGTCGCAAACGACCCATGGCAGTTCAGCACGTTCTTGATTCCTTCTACGTGCTCCAGCGTATCGATGTTCTGCGTATAGTTGCGCAGCAGCTTCTCCTTGTCCTCAAGCATCTTCACAAACGCATGCGATGGTGCTGGAGTGAAATTGGATGGAAACAGTTCCTTGGCAAACGAGTAGAACAGCTGGGGCATCATCCGGAAATACTCGATATCAAACATCTGCTGAGGGTCATCCAGGCCGTATTCGTCGTTGAGCCGAGTGTATATTCCCGTCGGCGACCGGAAATCAGGAATACCACACGAAACACTGACGCCAGCACCGGTCAAAACCATGATGCGCCGAGACTGCTTCAGTAGCTTGATGATGTCCTCCAGCGAGTTGACAGAGGGAAGCTTTGGCCGGTTTACGGTAGAATCGCGTCAAGTAGTGCTTGAGGAGCGGCAGCAGCTGGAAATCAGGCACAGTCTGGATAAGCGATGTGGGTGCCGCAAACACGTCCAGCAACGATCGGACCGAGATGCCCTTGCTGACCAGATACTCCTGGATGAACCCATTGATGCCCAGCACATGCGCCTCGCTGCGGATAATTGCCTTTTCAGCATCGCCAAAGCGCATATACGTGTCGTCAATGATCTCGTGTGATGTGTCCGGCAGCGGGGACGGCGCGCAGCTACCGTCGACGTTTTAGCAATTCCTCGTCCTCCTCTCCAGCATCAGTGGCAACGCTGTTGCCAGATGTAGAACCGCCAAAGTCGCCATCCTCCTCGTCGCTGTCTTCATCCGTGTTTTTGATGGGTGTGATTGTCATCCGCACCCGTGGGCTTGGCCTCGTCGCCTGGCAGACCTGCCGGCGGTGTCTAGGCGGTGGCGTTTTGAGCTCTTGAAGCGGCCGAGCTCGTCCCTTGTCCAACTGCTCTGGTCCGTTAACCGATTCGGAGCGTTTGCGACTACTCGAGTTTGCCTCGCTGTGGTCGCTAAGCTCAACAGTTGCGCCCTGGACGCTATGCTGGGCCATTTGATTATATCCGCGCAAGTACTGGTGGTGAGAGGGAGCAAGGGGAAGCAGGCGAACAGCAGGCGAGCGCGTCCAAATTGAAATGCTGAAAAAGTTAAATTATGAAAATCGCAGGCGAAAAAAGACTTTTCAGGAGAAAAGGACGAATGGACCGCGATTTGCCTGTTTTGGCTGGAAAGCCCCCTGCCGATTTCCCGATTCTTGCAAACAGGCGAGCCAGCAGCGCATGTCCTGGGCATGGTGGCGCAGCGTTTATTTGAAGACCATCTGTGAAATGAACCGGAACATATAGTCGTCAATGTGGCCGATCTCCTCGGCCTCTTCCTGCTCACCGGCGTCGCAGGCATTTGCATCTGATGGCTGCTGCGGAGCACTGGACTCGGCCTTGCCTCCAGCTGCCGCAGAGCCGTGCGAAGGCTCCTCGCCCAGATCAAGCGCATCCGCCTGCTCGACTTCCTGGATAGCAGTCCGCAACGCCGCTGTATCGGCCTCGTCGTCCTCAGCAGCACACA